AAATCCGCAAACATACCGCTGTGCCACTGGAGGGGTGCAGTTGATAAGAGCAACTGAAAAGTTGGCACAGTTACAAACAACATAAAACTTTTAAGCTAAAAACAAACTATCAACTAGTTAAGTACAGTAAATGTAACAGGCACTCAGATACAACTCATTAGATACCGTTGAAATCAAACAATTGGTAATTAAAGTAGATTTTTCTTACAATTAAAAGTTACTAATTTCCATGAATTGCTTAGTAATTGATAAGTAATTAAAGGAAAGTCTGCTGTGATACTTTTGAAAGATCGAAAATTTTGGACTATTTGAAATAGTGATAATTAAAATAATGATTTTTTAAAGAAATATATAATATGACTTGCACTCGATAAAATGATATATTTTTTTTTTATAATATCAAAATTACTGCGTTATAAATGACGTTTAGTAATGTAACTTGTCTTCATATCCTGGCTGCCTAGTGGTGGATAGAATCAAACAAGTTGTTGAATTAGCCAGAAAAAATAAACTCTCATTTGTTAACTCTAAGCAGCCAAACTGTTGATAAACATAAATCAATAAAAGCAACTAACATAGCTAAAAATGTTCGTTTACTTGTTTATTGTTAAACGCAAAGTTACAAAATGAGCTATTTGTGTTGTGCCCACCGCGGGTATCGAAACTTAATTTTTAGCGTAATAAGTTCTTAAACTTACCTCTGAGTCACTGGGGAAGAGCAGTTAGAAAAGAAATAACTAATTAGTCTGCAGATTCAAAAAATTAAACAGTTTATAATCAGAGAAACTAAGCACTTCGTAAGGAGACGATATTTTTTAGTTAATCCTTGAAAGAATATTTCATTTTCATGGAATATAGTTCTGATAAAAGAAGTTACAGGATTTAATTACAAAACGGCGAACAAACACGAAAATAATATTTTACAGATACTTTTTTCACGACTGTACTTTTGATGTTGTTCAAGATATAACTGGTTTAGATTTTTAAATTTCTGCAACTAATTTGGTTTAATCCAATCATCTTCTTCCTGGGGACCAGGTCCTCAATAAAATAAAAATGGTATGGAACGTAACGTACTATAACAGCACACATGTTTCTGAGAAGATATGATAATATTAAAAGACCATACACACATTGATTTAATCCAATCATCTTCTTCCTGGGGATCAGGTCCTCAATAAAATGAAAATGGTATGGAACGTAACGTACTATAATAGCATATATGTTTCTGAGAGGATATAATAATATTAAAAGAACATACACAAATTGGTTTAATCCAATCATCTTCTTCCTGGGGACCAGGTCCTCAATAAAATAAAAATGCTATTTCAACCAGGATACAAAACCTACTAGACTTTAATAACATCTTCAATGATGTGTTGGTTGGTTTGAAAAAATTTTGATTGTCTGAACATATAGACTTGAAATAAAGAAGCAATTCACAAACTATTTATGTTCTATAGAAATAATAACATTTTCATAGACAATTTAACACTATGCGTGCACAAAAATATGAAAAGGTTATATTTTAAGGAGAGAAAGAAATTTTATTTTATTTTTGAGGACATTTTTGAATTTGTTGTAAAACCAAATCTCTGTGATTTTCAACTGACCATGAAGAACAAACACTTGAAAAGAGAACTGTTTTCCTAACCTTCTTTCGTGCAGGATCATTTTTGGACTGGTGACTTCTGACGTGTTTACGGAGTGAGCTGGGATCTGTGTAGCGTTTATTACATCCAGGTTCTTGACATGCATACGGCCTCTGCAAAATCATTGAAGTTTGAAAGAGAAATTTCAATTGATTTGTCTTATGAGTTTGCAGTTATGTAATAAAAATAAGTTAATACATGCTCGTCTGAAAGGACTTACTAAAATGTTAACGTTTAGTTTCGGAATTTGATGGTACAAATAACAAAGGCTGACATGGTTTTTAAAGAAAGTAAATAACATTGTAATAGAATAATACTGAAATTATTTGTTGAATTTGAAACAGATACAAGGTTGCTAGTATTATCTTTACGTTTTTAATGTCGTTTGGATGATGAATTTGTTTATAATTTTTGTTATTTAAATATTTTGTGAGATATAAGTTACCTCTACAGTTTACTTTGTTTGTTATTTAAATATTTTGTGAGATATACGTTCTTTCTACAGTTTACTTTCTTTGTTATTTAAATATTTTGTGACATATAAGTTACTTCTACAGTTTACTTTGTTTGTTATTTAAATATTTTGTGACATATAAGTTCTTTCTACAGTGTAATTTGTTTGTTATTTAAATATTTTGTGAGATAAAAGTTCTTTCTACAGTTTACTTTGTTATTTAAATATTTTGTGAGATATAAGTTACTTCTACAGTTTTCTTTGTTTGTTATTTAAATATTTTGTGACATATAAGTTACTTCTACAGTTTACTTTGTTTGTTATTTAAATATTTTGTGAGATATAAGTTATTTCTACAGTTTAATTTGCTTGTTATTTAAATATTTTGTGAGATATAAGTTACTTCTACACGTTACTGTCTTTGTTATTTAAATATTATATGAGATACGAGTTATTTCTACAGTTTAATTTGTTTGTTATTTTAGCGCATAACTACACAATGGGTTATCTGTTATTTGTTTACAGCGAGGAATCGAGACCCGAATTTTAGCATTGTAAGTTCGTAGATCTTGGGTTGACCTGCCAGGGACGTAGTTCTACATATAATCGAATTTGGATATCGTGTTTGTAAAGGAGTATTAAACCGATTAGATAACTAATATACAAATACACTGTATATATATATATAATTTCATTCTTTTTAATTTTATGTTTTTATGCTACCTAAACTGTTTCGTCGAAAAGTCATTATCGTGTACTTACGCTACACACAAACACAAGTTACTCTCTCCAATCAAGATTACACTCTGCTTTATTATATAGTTTTTCGTGCTTTTCTATTGTTAGTTTGAGAATATGACACTGAAGTTTTCTATAAACAACAAAACCTATAGACTGTTTCGTTTTATTTTGATCTTTCACCTTACAGTCCAGTAAAAATGGAAATCTATTGGAAAAGAGCGAATGTAACAGAGAAATTCTTTGTTTCCCTCATTAAAATCTCGTCGCATACGTTTCTGAAGACTGTCTTAATGATCAAGATGAAAGACAGACACTCTGAAAAACTTTCATTGCATCTCCAATAACAGCGTAAGACGCTCTGTTATCCTTGGTTGAAAATTGGTAGTTTCTCCCTCACCCATTAATTGTAATAAACAATTATCCCGCGGCAGGATTCGAAAAATACGTAGCTATTAAGTGTACAATTTCCGTACATATTCCACAGATGCTTCTCAAGCTTGAAAGCATAATTTGGTGTATGTGTGTAAAGAATGTGGCTACTATTAGATGAGAACTTCGGAAAGCACAAACACATACACTAGAGTAGGCGACTCTTAAGTGGAGACGTACGTAAGTATGCGCGAAATATTTTGCCATCGACGAAATAAGAAATCTGTAGATGTCATGGGTAAAAATACACCCTGGAAAGGTTCCAAAACTTGGAATAAAAAAAGAAAGAAATTTATTACTTCGTTGAGAACCTCATGTTTCTATACATTTAAGAGGTGTAAGTTATTAACCTAAACCTTCGTATTCACTTTCTCAACTTACCCGTCAAATTACAGGTTTCCCAATAAAATAACATATCAGGGACCGTTAATTTATTAACCTAACCACTTTCCCAAATTACCCATCAAATTACAGGTTTCCCAATAAAATAACATATCAGGGACTGTTAAGTTATTAACCTAACCACTTTCTCAACTTACCCGTCAAATTACAGGTTTCCCAATAAAATAACATATCAGGGACCGTTAAGTTATTAACCTAAAACCTTCGTATTCACTTTCCCAAATTACCCGTCAAATTACAGGCTTCCAAATAAAATAACATATCAGGGACCGTTAAGTTATTAACCTAAACCTTCGTATTCCTATTTCCCAAATTACCCGTCAAATTACAGGTTTCCTAATAAAATAACATATCAGGGACCGTTTGATTAGTAAAAAAAACTAGTTACTGTTTTGCTTCATTTTTTAAGTCTGAAAAACTTGATACAAACGACTACGGTGGAGGTGTTGTTTCGAGAACTCATTATTTTATTCATCCATTGTAGATAAAGTTATAAGGAATACAGATCTAGTCTGTCTGGTAATTTTATATCACGAAACGAACAGCAACAAAAGAGACCTTTAAAAACGATTATCTAACATTTGAGGTTCTGTAATTTTCATCTTCGTTTTCTCCTCTGTAACTTATGATAAGCTCCAATGTAGAACAAGTATTACAGTAAACAGACGTCATTTCACTGGTTGCTCTACTAATGTTAACTGAAGAAGACTGACGATATATTCCTGAGCGGCACACATACTGTTGAGAATATTTTTAAACATATACGTCAGTCGTTCTCAAAAGTTTGGAAGTCAAGTGAACGTTTTATTTTTTAAAGCAGTGATATAATTGACTAGCTGAGCTCATGATTAATATAAGCATCAACAGAGGGTTGTTATCGGGAGAATAATCCTGTTCTCATGAGACCTAATCAACCTATTATTGCGATGTCTTATAATTATTCCCAAGGCGACCTCTTATATTGACGTCGAGTTCTTTACCATTAAAAATGCATTATACAAGAAACTGCTTTTACCAGAGAAATAAGCTAAATACTGATCTCTGGCTCCGATCAGTTCGCGGAGAAATATGAACGGATAAAAAATGTGATGTTTATTCTAAGTGAATAATATCATGAAGAGACACTGGAAGAATTATAAATAAACAGCCCAGAAAAGTAAGAAAAAAAGGAGAGAAACATTAGGAGTGTCACAAAGAGGGAGTTTTGAAAGGTCAATAAGAATTATTAAAGAATATTATGAAGAGATAGAACGAAAATTCAAGAGCGGACAACAGAAAAGTCATGAAATGGAAGTGGGAAGGTCAGAGGAAAGGTCATAGAGGAATGCAATGATGTGTCAGAAAAAAGATCACGTAAACAACAGTGGAAATATTGTGTTATATATTAGGGTAAATAGAACAGATTTCATGGGGAAAAACGGAGAGAGAGAGGAAAGAAAAGATCATGAAGAGTTAGTGTGAGGGATGTCATGAAAGGGCAGATAAGGAGATTTTGAGGGGATATTATACAGATCAACATTGTTGACATAAAATGTTTCTTTATAAAACCGCTTATTGTTGTGTACCGCTATTAAACAAACTTGTTTTTAAAAACCTGTTACTATTGAGGTCTATTCAGAAATGAATTCCATTTTCAAAATAGTTGTTTGCAATCATTATTATCTAACGTTTAATATGTCAGCACGTAAAACAATCATTATTATCTAACGTTTAATATATCAGCATGTTAAACAATCATTATTATCTAACGTTTAATATGTCAGCATGTAAAACAATCATTATTATCTAACGTTTAATATGTCAGCACGTAAAACAATCATTATTATTATCTAACGTTTAATATGTCAGCACGTAAAACAATCATTATTATCTAACGTTTAATATGTCAGCACGTAAAACAATCATTATTATCTAACGTTTAATATGTCAGCACGTAA